AAGACGCACTTCGCTGCATTCAGCTTCAGCCCATACTCCCTGAGAGTGGAGAAGGTATCCGCCAAGTCTGTAAGATGATCACAACTCCGTTTGCTCTTTACCAGCATGTCGTCTATGTAGACCTCCATGGTGTTGCCGATCTGCTTCTTGAACATCCGATTCATCAGTCTTTGGTATGTTGCCCCGGCGTTCTTCAATCCAAACGGCATCACTTTATAACAATAAACTCCCTTCGGAGTGATAAATGCCGTCTTTTCTTGATCCGGGGCATAGAGAGGGATCTGATGATATCCTGCTCGGGCATCCAGGAAGTCCATTCGTTCATATCCGGCTGTGGCATCTACCAGCTGGTCCACCTTCGGCAGGGGGTAGTCATCCTTGGGACATGCCTTGTTTAGATCTGTGAAATCCACGCAGACACGCCATTTCCCCCCTTTCTTCTTTGCGCATACTGTATTGGACAGCCATTCTGGGAACTGTATCTCTCGAATGGCATCGGCTCTCAGGAGTTTGTCTATTTCCTCATTGACCGCGTTGGTGTGATGCGGGGCCATACGTCGTGGCCTCTGCTTTACTGGCTTGTGCGACGGGTCAACATGCAGCCTGTGAGTGATTATCTCAGGGTCTACTCCTGTCATTTCCATTTCGTTCCAGGCGAACACGTCTGTATTTCCCCTTAAGAACCTGATCATCTCCTCCTGTTCGGCTGCGGGCATCGAGGTCCCAACTAGGAAATACTTCTCTTCTTCTCCTTCAACCAAGGGCACCTTCCGGAGGTCTTCAACCGATCGTTCAGCTGGGTCTACCCGGGGGTCATCCATCCCCGGACGCCCGGACTGTAATTGCTATTTTTCCATGATCTCTTCCGGTGCTCGCCCCTTCTCCTGGCTGGACGCCCCGGCTCGGACGGCCGAATAAAAACAGTTCTTCGCAGACGCTTGGTCCCCCCGGATCTCCATGATGCCCTCTGGCGTGGCGAACTTTAACTTCTGGTGGAGAGTGGAGTGCACCGCTCCCAACGCGTGCAGCCATGTTCGCCCCATAATCACGTTGTAAGGGGAGTCCGTGTCGATCACAACAAACTCTGTGTCGATGACGAAGGGACCAGTGGCGACCGGTAATGTGATTTTCCCCACGGGCAAGGCGAAAGAGCCGTTGAACCCGATGAGGGGTGTCCTGATTTTGGTTAGGTCTTTGGGGCCAAAGCCCATCCGCTTCAAAGTCTCGAAGTACATCACCTCCGAGGAGCTCCCTGAATCTATCAAAATTCTCTTGACATCGAATTTCCCTATCTTTAGGGTCAAGACAAGGGCGTCGTTATGAGGAATCACCACGCCTGTCAAATCCGCGTCAGAGAACGTAATGCCAAGCTCACCCATCCTGGCCCTTTTACTTGATGGCCCCACATCTCCCTCGGCTACCTTTCTTGTAAAAGCTACCCTCTTGAGGTCGGATTCGAGCTCTTTGGACGTGGGGCGCTCCAGCGGACATACATGGATGACGTCTATGACGTTGTCCGGTTCCTCGGTCGGGGCAAGGGCTCGTTTCTCTTCTGGCCTAGGCTCTATGTATTCTTTCAAATGTCCGTCTCGGACCAAGCTTTCCAAGAATGACTTGAACACCCTGCAGCTCTCGGTGCGATGCCCGACATCCCGGTGATATGAACACCTAACTTTTTGATCACGGGTGGAGGGGTCGCTCTGCATCCTGGGCGGCCATTTGAAGAACGGCTCGTGTTTGATTTTATGGAGCAACCTGAAGATGGGTTCCTTGAAGACGGTGTGAACTCCTCTGGACGAACCCCCTGGATGGGGTAGCAATCCCTTTCGGGGAATATCTTCGCGCTCTTTCTCCTTTCTCTTGGATTGGAGGGCTCGGCCTTTGTTGCTTCCCATCTCGTCCTCGACCCTTGAGTACTTGTTGATCCGGGCCATCAGTTCCCCCATATCCGAGGGAGTCTTCTTGGTCAGGGATCGGTACAGGTCCGTGTCCCTCGCCAAGCCGAGCCGGAAAGATGCTGCTGCCATGACCTCCGAGCATCCCTCGACCTCATTGACTTCTTCCCAGTATCGGATGGCGTACTGGCGAAGAGTCTCGGATTCCCTCCGTCTGAGGGTCAACAATGATCCAATGTCCTTGGGGCGCTTACTCCCCGTGATGAATCGGGTTAGGAACTGCCTTGTCAATTCTTTCCAGGACCCAATACTGTTTGGGGGAAGCGTCTCGAACCACCTCATCGCAGAGTCCCCCAAGCTCATAGGGAACACCCGGCATAGAAACCGTTGGTCCGAATGATAGAGGGACATCATCTGCTTATATTGTCTGATATGGGCTTCGGGATCAGATCGCCCATCATAGGTTTTGAACCGTGGCACGACGAACTTTCTTGAGACATCCATCTCACTGATTTCCCTCGTGAAGGGTGTTTGCATGACTTCGTCCTCGGCCTCGTCCTGGACAGTCTTACCCTTTCTTCTGGAGTCTAATCGGGCTCTGAGATCTACTTCTTCCCTTACGGGATGCCTCCTGAAGTCCCTGGGTTCATCGGTAAGCCCCTCGTTTCCTGGGCGTCGTGTAGATTGGGTTGAGTCCTCCTCGGATTCATCTCCCTTCCTCCGTCTGGACAAACCTCGCCGGAGGTCGTCCAGGGCCAATGGCCTCGCTTTCCTGGAATGGTTGTCAAGATGACATTCGCCGGCTCTGGGTCGCTTCGGGGCCCTGGAGCTTTCTGCTTTGTGATCTAGGTGGTTTCTTAGATCCTTTGTCTCCGCCTCATGGACGGGGAGTCCTCGGGAAAGGAATGAATCCCTCGACCCTCCGCCTGAGGCGGCAAACTCGTCGAGCCGGCTAAGGACGTTTACATTGTCCTTCTCCAGCTGACGTAATCTATCGCCAAATTTCTCTTCAATCACCTCTGCCAGCTGACGGGCCAAGGGGGCTGATCCTCCTGACCTGATCCCCATACTGGTTTGAGGGGTTACCCCCCTTGACCGAGTAGAGGCACTTTTAATCGTACTGGTGCGATCCCTCCCTCCGTGATGGCAGGGAGCTTGCAACTCATGACTCCTTTGGTGGGGTCCTTTTCCTTTCTGTCTGGTGTTCACCATGGTCACTGTTCTTTATAGAGAAAAGATTAGGAAAACTACTCGTTTCCCACAGACGGCGCCAGATTGTGCGTGCAAGATCCTGCACAATATAAAAAATATTGGGAACAGATCTCTCCCCTGGTGAACTTTGAGTGAGCCGGTTGAGTGGCCAAACACGCTGCTTGAAACAGCCTGCAAGGTACGGTGGCAACCTGGAACGGCAAAGGAAGATCCTGGGAAAGGAAGAACGATCCTGTACGTGTGAAAGGTTTTCCTGGAATAAAGAGGAACAAGTTAGAAGGGTGCCGGAGTGTGTTCCGGCGTATCCCCTCCGACGGTCTAGTCAGTCTTTGAATGAGAGAGAGGAAGAAGAAAACACTGAGAAAATCTGTATTGTAGTCGAGAGTTTGTGATTGCATACCCCTTTGCCTTTTGGGAGGAGTATTTATACCTTAAAAGCTCATGATTGCTGTCAGTGTGGTCAGTAGGTGATCATCAGGCACAGGTAGCGTGTGTATTGATTTGATGAGGAATGTCTTCTCTAATTGACTGCTCGGGGTCCCGAGCAATCAATGCTGAGTCGTCGGGACGCCGACGGTACAATATGCTCCTTTCGGGAAGGATGCAATAAATGCTCTGTAATAGGAGCATTTATTGCCTTTCATATCCGAACCTTACCGCATTGAATGCGGTCTCATCAACAGAAGGGTGCAATTAATTGTTTGCTTTCCCAAGCCATGTGTCAGTATCGGCGTGCAGTTTGTCTGTCTTTGATGTGACATCATTTGCCACGCGTCCATCCCTTACTGACTGTGATTACTGTGTTCCGGTATGTTCTGACATTACTTGTGTAAGACGAGGTCATGATGAATAGTCTAGACTGGCATAGGCTGATGATTCGTACGTCAGTAGCTTTACCCTGGAGTAGAGGAAGCGTCCAGGACGGAGTAACTCTCGGCACCGAGGAAAGGCTCCCCTCGGGGACCGAGAGTGGTATGTTTCCGAGGTACATGGGTGACCGAGGACACGTGTTGTTGTATAATACACCGAATGCATGATCCTATATGAGAGGTACCTCGGGGGCGAGGACACTCGTTGTCGATGGTGCTTAAATCCGAGCAACACTGTTCCAGAAACCCCCGAGGACACGTGTCTTCATCATAGGGCTTTTCAGAAGAGTCCCATCATTTAGATTTTTCATGTTTATTGGGTAAAGTTTGTTCTAAAATGGGATATTTTTTTTTTAATTTTATTATCAATGAATCATGAAAATAATAAAATAACTTAAAATAAAAAAATTTACTTGTGAACTCATATCATATTTTGATTAGAAAAGTACGATACCGCGTCCCCGTTATGATTAACATTATTGTATTTTTTTTTGTGGGCATATGGGTTTCAGTTTCACGTGGTCACAGGTCACTTGGTGGGTCAATGGTTCTGTTTTGGATCTGTTTTTTTTAACTTCCTTGGCTTCTGCGTTCGATATAGATATTCCCCAACAAATTTGGTCCTCATTGTCCGATATTCTTTTTTTTTTTTGTAGGGTAAGAGTTGTTTGGGTCGGTTTACGCATATCTTGACTAATCTCATCTTCGGTCTAATAAAAAATAACTCATCTACGCCGAGACTAAAGTATTCGTGAGAGATTGAGAGATAAATCTCTCTTGGCCTGACGCTCAATTAATTGTCGAAATTTGAACTCATGACATCTGAGTTTATAGTTCGTTTCTGTTATCACTTAAACTATATCTTGAAGTTCAAGATTGCATATTATTATCTTATATCATCTTAGATTACCAAATTAAGTTCAAATGACAGTTTTTTAATAAATTATAGGAAAATACATGTGATCATCATACAATAAAGCAGCACACATATTATTAACATACAGCTCATTGAGCTTGTTACAAACTACATACAAACCAACTCCGTTACTTAACATTTACAGGAAAAATCAGCATGCTGAGACCCCACTCCAGAATAAATATAATGCATTTTGGTGGCTTTCGGCTGCTGATCCAAGGACAATACCTGTTCTACAAGACCACAACAAAAACTGAACTTAAACTCACACTTGAACATCTACAAACAAACCACCATAGAGAGATTTAACACTAAATCTAGGGTATGTTGTGGGCTGCACCAGCTCTATGTCTTGTAGCAAAGCGATTAACCAATGCCAGTGCATTACTGGTGACCTGAGCAACACTGATGACCCTGCTTTTAATTGCAGCCTTCACATTTCCATCCATGGCTTTATCAGCAAAGCCATTAACACAAGTGTTCTCATCGGTAAGAGCAGCACTGACCCATGTCTGAACATTGCTCGCGTGCCACATGAAGTCCTGGCCATTGCCTCGACCCATGTACCCGAGCTCTTGGACCGATTGGTTAAGCTGATCCACAGAATAAGCCATGTTATCAATGCAATCTTGTACTGCTTGGTAGACTCTTGGATTGAGTCCTGTAGTTTTAGCTATCCTGGAAACAAATGCTGAGGTGGATTGAGCCCTGGCTAAGCTCACAGACAAGGCGGCTTGGGCGAGTTGCCGCTGGCTTTGTTGTAGTGTTTGCATAACTTGACAGACACTGAACACACAAAGCAGGATAGAGAGTGGCTCTGCATGATGCCCTGATGAAGTCTATGCCTGAGGGATTTGAGGAAACAGTAGACTCTGCTATGCCATCCATATAAAGACCAAGCAAAGTAAAACAAAGACCAAGTTTTGGCAAGTAAAGAACAAGTTTCGCCATCTCTTTGATATGTGAGAATGGACTGGTACTGTATCAAGTGAATTAGATCTTGGAAGCCTTATATAGAGGCCTAAATGAAGGTTGTGTATCCTCTTGAAGAGATCAATAATAAAAGTTCAATTATATTTGCCAAAGGAAACTTCTCTTGAGATTAAATAAAAGGTTGTCACATGCCTGCCTGCCTGTCTGCTTTTGGCTCTTTCTTTCCTTAACAAGTTATCCTCTCTTTTTTTTTTTTATCCCCTTTGTAGAGTATCTATATCTCATAATTTCATGCTCTATTGGGGGCTGTAAGCTTCCTAGTAACCTTCTCTTTTCCTACACCAGATCTCTATTTACTCACCATGTGTCCTCTGTGTTCATTACAAGTAAGCAGACCACACACAAGTATTAAAAGCTAGTAAATTTTTTGGAAATGCAAATACAACATAGACACATCTTTTTTGTAGTCAATTGAGGCAGTTACCAAGAAATTTGTAAATTTAAATTGATATTTAAAAAGCGAAAGTGTATCGGTTTTGAAGGAAAACTATGACATATATGCTAAATAAAAACAGGGTTGAGAATAGGATGAGCAATTTAGGAGGGCTTGGGGGAGAGATTACTGATACAGGTCAATGTGATCTTGATCAGTTGCCAGTAGTCTTGACTTGAATATAAACACAAAATGAAGTAATAATAGTGCAAGTCTCTGCCTCGATTTTTGCAAACTAACCACAATAATTTAAGTGGCTGGTCCCTTCTTGTTTGTTTTCATAGTCACCTAACAACTAGTATTAAATGATATAAAACAATGTTATATGCCAGAGACTGACATAATTAGCCATAGATATTAGCTTGCTTTAAAATCTGGAGTCAACCAGCGGATCTATATAACATAAACATGTAGACACAAATTTTTTTTTTTAATTAATTTCACGCAGATAGAGTATTTTCAATCCCATATAACCTTTAATAAGAATCCTTCCTCTTACATCAGACAAAGATGTGTTGTTGAAGTTGATGTCACGGTTTCTGCCTACATCTAGCCATGGAACCATGCTGTAGAGCCTAGCTTGGTTCTACTTCTTAATCACAAAGATCTCAACTATACCCATTTTTGCAGAAAGACTGCCCCACCTCCAGGAGACATCTTACCTTGATTCCAGGGTGAAAAATTATAGCAAAACAATGATGGAAAATTAAACAGAAGGAAGAGAACCTTTGGGTAGAAGTGATTAATAAAAAATACATTAACCAGGTGAACAACACCTGGAAGTGGAAAGGGACTGCCTCTCCAACCTGGAGAGCTGTCCTAAAAACCAAGAAACTTCTGGAAAGGAAAAGGGGACTTAATGGGTTATTGGGAATGGGGAGAATATTCTCTTCTGGACAGACAGGTGGCTGGGAAATGAGCCCTCCTCAGAAAACTACACTACTCTCCTTCAGCCAACCTCCAATGCAAAGTCTAAGAGGTCATCGATTATTTTGGATAATCATGCATACCCCCCTCCCCAGTTTTGAAACCTTCCTCAACAGACCCTGTCTGTCCCATAATGGAAAGTTCAGTACTAAGTCCATCTATGACCTCTTAACAAATGAGGACAGACCCCAACAACAGCCAAACTGGGACTGGTTCTGGAAGCTGGAGTTACCCCAGAAACTCAAATTTTTCTTATGGTTGGTGCAGCATGACAGATTACTATCCAACCAACTAAGAGCCAGAAGGAGCATGACTACAGAAGCGACCTGTACCAGATGTAACATATTTGAAGAGTCAACAATCCATATTCTGAGAGATTGCTCCAAAGCACAGAAGGTTTGGAGAATCTTTCAGAAGAGAACTGAGCGGACCTCTGACCAAAGCCTGAGCCTACCTAACTGGTTGAGAAAAAACTTCAAGGATAGGGATAATAAAACTTGTAGAGGTGTCAATTGGATCACAATCTTCACTTTCATCATCTGGCATATATGGAAGGATAGAAATAATGAATGTATTTCTAAGATATACACAGGTCACTAGGTAATGGCGAGCAATGCGTGGCAAGCAGCAAGAGAGAATGACTCAGCCTTCCAAGGCAACCAGCAAAGCAGTCCAGCAAAACAAACTAGACTAATATCCTAGTCTTTTCCTTGTGCAGGATGGATGAAGTTGAGCACTCATGGCTGCTCTAATGGGGAACCAGGATCAGTTGGAAATGGAGGTCTCATTAGGAGCGACCAAGGCCTATGGAAGATTGGTTTTTATGGAAAGATGAACACCACCACAAGCCTGCAAGCGGAGCTATGGGCCATTCTCAAAGGGCTAGAATTGGCACAAAGGAAAGGATTTAACAGAATTGTGTTGGAGATTGATTCTCTTGATGCGTTTAACCACCACACCAAACCACTGGAAGAGGACCACCCAAACAAAGCAATTATAGTGAATTGCAAGCACCTGATGATCAACCAAATTCCCATGGCACACACCCTGTATGAGGGGAATCAGTGTGCAGATATCCTCGCCAATCTAGGAGAACAGCAGCAAGACAGCATTGTGGAGCTGCTGACTCCACTGTACCAAGTGCCACAAGCCATTAGGGCAGATTTAATATTTGTTGCTTTTGTAAGGGAGACTTAGCTCCCATTTAAACATTCCAAAGCACCAAAAAAAAAAAAAAGGGTGAAAAATGATGGGTTTCTGCAACTCCATTGTGTTCACCAACATTTACTTATAGAACCATACTGATGAGAGTGGATCCATCTTGGCTCACTTTATTAACCCCAATTGTACTTAAATTGCTAGTGCACACCAGTCTGCAGCTTTTTGTTTTCACTTTGTTTGTGAAGTTGAGCATCCTCAAGATTCGGCACAAACTCCTCCTGCTCCTATTAGTGCCATAGCTTTCATCTTCCCCAATCTCAATTTCCTGCCTAATAAAAATTGTTTGTAAGCAATTCGGCCTTGCTGTTGAGATTGTTAATATTTATCAATGAAAGTGGAAGAAGAACATATTCATTAAGATTAACAAGATCTGTATAACAGACACATAAAACAAACTACAGAATAATAACCTTATACACTAGGGCAAGACATAGCAATGTAAATGACTAATCTACCCCTACTGCTAATCTACCCCATTACTCTAACATCCCCCGTCAAACTCATGATGTGATAGCATTAAACATCAAGAGTTTGCCAAGGAGAAAACGAAAGCGCGCAATAGTGTGAGATTTTGTGAAGAAATCAGCCAACTGCATAGTAGAAGAAAGATATGGGAGAGAGATTGTGTCTAGCTGAAGATGATGGCGCACAAAGTGACAATTAATCTCTATATGTTTGGTGCGCTCATGAAACACTGAGTTGTGTGCAATTTGGATAGCACTGGTGTTATCACAATATAGAGGAGTAGGAGTAGTCAAGAAAATGCTAAGATCAGCAACCAACCAACGCAACCAAACTATCTCTGCTGTGGTGGATGCCATAGCACAATACTCAGCTTCAGCAGAAGATCGAGCTACCACAGTTTGTTTTTTGCTTTTCCAAAAAATAAGAGAATTACCAAGAAAGAGACAAAAACCAATGGTAGATTTGCGATCCATAGAGTCACCAGCCCAGTCCGCAACAGAGTAAGCACGGAGCTCCAGAGACGAAGAAAAAGAAAATAATAAACTCTGATGTAATGTATCCCGTAGATATCGAAGAATCCGAAGAACGACAGACCAGTGTAGTGTGGTAGGAGCAGCAACAAACTGACTAACCACATGAACTGCATAAACAATATCTGGACGAGTAACGGTAAGATACACCAAACTTCCAACAATAGTACGATATAAGGTAGGATCAGGCATGAGAGAACCATCAGAGGAAGTATAACAAACGTTGAGCTCTAAGGGTGTGTCAACTGTTCGAGTATCCGATAAGCAAGCTTGCTGAATAACATCTAAAGCATATTTTGACTGAGAAAGAAGATAACCCTTGGAAGAGGAAGCAACTTCAATCCCTAAGAAATATCGAAGTGGACCCAAATCCTTCATCTCAAAATAATCTTGTAACTGAGTTTTCAACAGCTGAATTCCAGCAGTATCATCACCTGTAATAATTATGTCATCCACATAAAGTAGCAGAAGAATGAAACCAAAAGAAGTGGATCGAAGGAAGAGAGCAAAATCATGATCACTAGCACAGAAACCCAAATCACAAATAACTGAAGAAAATTTTACAAACCATGCCCTCAGAGCCTGTTTAAGACTATAAAGCCTTGTGAAGTTTGTACACATGACCAGGACTACAAGGCAACCCAGGAGGACGAGTTATATAGACCTTTTCAGATAAATCACCATGAAGAAAAGTATTTTTCACATCCATATGAGATAAGCTCCACTGATGAATAGCTGCCACAGCTATTAGAGTGCGAATCGTGGTCATCTTAGCCATTGGAGCAAGAGTCTCATAATAGTCAAGCCCATACTCTTGAGCAAATCTCTTGGCCACTAATCTAGCCTTGTACCTTTCCACAGAACCATCAGATTGAGTTTTGATTTTATAAACCCACTTACAACCAATGGGGCGTTTACCAAGAGGTAAAGGCACCAACTCCCAAGCTCGAGTCTTATGTAAAGCAGAAAGCTCCTCATCCATAGTCTGTTGCCAAAGAGGATCAAGTATAGCCTTCTTATAGGAGGTTGGTTCAGACAGAGAATATATAGAAGTCAGGAAAGAACAAAAATCAGAAGAGTAACAAGAGTTGGACCAACCAAACCTGTCAGGACACTTTCGAGTGCGCTGAGGGTAACAGGGAGTGTGATCCACGGTGTCAGAATTTGATTGGGAGCCAAGAGGTGCGGATGAAGGCACATCATCTGTGGAGGAGACAGTGGGAGTCCTGTGAACATAAGTATGAACAATAGGGGGACGGGTAACAGACAGATCAAGTAAAGAGGAAGAAGAAGAAGAGGAGGGAAGATCAGTCACAATCATATCACCAACATAGGAATCAGAGGAAACATTAGAGGGAAATGGATCAAGATAGATAAGATCAAATTTATGCAGAGAGGAAGAACTAGATGGAATAGAGAAAAAAGGAATATGCTCTATAAAAGCAATATGGCGAGACACATACAGTTTTTGTGTACTAGGATCATAACAACGAAATCCCTTTTGTCCCTCACCATAGCCAAGAAAAACACATAAGGTCGAGCGAGCCGAGAGTTTAGTACGATTAACACTAGGTAATAGAACAAAACATGTATATCCAAACACACGTAAGGAGAAATAGTCAGGTGCCTTACCACATAATTGTTCAAAAGGTGAGACACCAGAATTAAGAATTGTAGGAATGCAATTAATCAGGTGAATTGCTGTAAGGACTGTTTCTCCCCAAAAGGAGCTAGGGACACTGGATAACAATAACAGAGAACGCGTTGTCTCTGTAATATGACGGTGTTTCAGCCACTCCATTCTGAGCAGGTGTGTCGGTACAAGAAGACTGAAAAATAGCACCATCAAATTTCAATAAATCACAAAAAGTACTAAAAGAATATTCTCCACCTTGATCACAGCGGAAACATTTGATGATAGAAAAATATTGAGTATGCACCATAGCACGAAAGGTAGTGAAAATGGAAAAAAACTCAGACCTACGTGTCATCAGATACACCCAATAATATCTAGTATGATCATCAGTAAATGAAACATAATATCTATACCCCCCTTTAGTAGTAATAGGAGCTGATCCCCAAATATTAGAATGTACAAGATTAAAAGGTGCAAGAGAACGAGAATTACTTTTATTGAAAGGTAATGTAGTAAATTTTGCCAACTTGCAGCCACTAAAATCTGAAAAATCATGACACTCTAAACTACACAAACTACCGGTAGAAGCTAAAAATTTTAAACGAGAATGAGAAACATGACCTAAACGAGAATGCCATAAATAAAAACTAGATGATTTTGAACTCAATTGAAAGGAAGATAAATTAACAGTAGATGCAACAACTTCAGGGACATAAAGCTCATCCAACACATATAGCCCTCCATTTCTATGGCCTGTCCCAATCAGCCTCTTGGACTGTGGATCCAGCACAATACAACCAGTAAGAAAAGTGAACTAAGAATCCCGAATCAAACAACTGACTAACAGAGATTAAATTTAAAGTAAGGTGAGAAATATAGTAGACATCGGGAAGGGTAAGCTGGGAAGACACAATAGTTCCAACACTAACCAAAGACATTTGGGTGCCATTGGCTGTAAGAACAGATATAGATGGAGGAGAAATAATATAAACAAATAAGGAACAGTTACTAGTCATATGATGGGTGGCTCCTGAGTCAAAGACCCAGGCAGTTCGAGATATACCAGAAGGACCTGTAGTGAATGAACCTGTGGAGGGAGAAACAGATAAGGCACCTGGTTGATGAAGGGAAAGAAGCTTCAGCAATTGATCAGCTATCATAGTCATGGTGGGAGCTGATGGAATTGACTCATCCACTGGTGAAGCAGCTGCTGCTGTATGATGATCTTTGAGCTTAAATGGCTAATGTAAGGCCCCCTTAGCATTCTTGTTCACTAATTTAGGACACTGAGCCTTCCAATGACCTCTCTCACGACAAAAACTACACTCATCTGAAGCAGCTCTATCCCGATATTTAGTCTGTGGGTGAGAAGTCCCTCTGAGTGGTACAACCAAAACAGTCTGATTAGACAATGAAAGAAGATCCTTTTCAGAAAGAGTCTTAAGACGGACTTCTTCAGCCAGAAGCTCATTCACTACTGCATCAACTGTGGGAAGTGGGAGACGATGGAGAATAGAACCACGAAGTCCCTCAAAGTCATATCTAAGAGCCATTAAAAATGCACCAACCGCTGCTCCTCCCTAAAAGTACGATATACCATATGAGTACTTAATTCAACAGATTCAACAAGGGCTAACTGATCTTAAAATCCAGTTATAACCGAGTAGAACTCCTGTATGGTCTTATCACCCTGACGTGCAGCTCGAATTTCATGCTCAAGCTGATATCTCTTTACAAAATTAGACTGAACAAACAATGTAGCTAAATAATCCCAAATCTCCTTGGCTGTGTTAAACTTAGCCAAATGCACACCAATAGTCTGATCTACTGAGTTGTTAATCCAAGTGATGATTTTAGTATTGTTAATTTCCCAGGTATTCTTTAAGTCAGCATATTCCTTTGCCTTCGTATCTGTTGGAGCTTGCAAAGCACCACAACCATAACTCCACATCTCTTTCCCCAACAAAAAATTCTTCATAACATAAGACCAATATACATAATTTTCACCATTTAATCTGACACTAATAGCCTGAAGAGATTCAGAATGTCCACTTGTCATAACATTAACAAAGTGTCAATACTCTAGCAATATCAGAATATCCCCAAGATAAAGGAGGAGGAAACAACAATATTCTAGCAACACAGCAACAACAAAACAACAATATTCTAGCAACACAGCAAAACAACAATATTCTAGCAATCCAGCAAAGCAATAAACAACCACACAACAACAATCAGTCCAACCACACAACAGCAATTAGAAATTCGATCACAAAACAGAAAGACGGTTGGTGCACTTGGAAATAGTCAAGCCAAGAGAACATAGGAGTCTAAGCCAGTCGGTGCACATGCACTTGGAACCAGTCAAGTCGAGAAAACAAAGGAGAGAAGACAGTCGGTGCACTTGGAACCAGTCAAGCCAAAGAAACAGAGTAGAGGAGGCAGTCGGTACACCGAACAGAGCACCGAGCAAGTTCAGTCGGTGCACTTGGAACCAGTCAAGCCAAGGAAATAGAGGAGAGGAGGCAGTCGATTCAGTTGGTGCACTTGGAACTAGTCAAGCCAAGGAAACAGAGGAGAGGAGGCAGTCGGTACATCGAACAGAGCACCGAACAAGTTCAGACCAACCAAATCTCATCCCAAACGGTTGGTTATCGTCGGTGATCTTTTTCTAGACTTAAATCATGTATATTATTTGGGTTTAGGGATCATAACATGCTCTGATACTATGTTAATATTTATCAATGAAAGAGGAAGAAGAACATATTCATTAAGATTAACAAGATCTGTATTACAGACACATAAAACAAACTACAGAATAATAACCTTATATACTAGGGCAAGACATAGTAACGTAAATGACTAATCTACCCCTACTGCTAATATACTAGATTACTCTAACAGAGATCACCACTAAATATTTCTATGGTCTTTAGGTGCTTTCTGAGTGAGCAGCAACACACTTCATTAGAAGTGGTTAGGCAGGTTCCAAGTCTGTAGTTCACTAAAAACTTGTGCAAGTACGAGAGTTCACTAAGGAAACAAACACAATACTTGATTTGACAACAGTGCAGCCACATTCAAAGTGCCTCCATATGATCATAATAACCACCAAAGGTTTTTGCAACTCTAGCTGTATGAAAGAAATACATAAGCATTTGCTTGGATGCAGCATGGAGATCATAAGATGATGTTCACATGGAAATTGAAATGAATGTAGAAACCATAAGTATTATTCTTGAAATTCAACATAACCATTCGGAAAGTTTTTCACCACCATGAGTGGTAATATCGCAAGTTTCACATAAATCATGTCAAAATACAACACACATCTGCTCTTTCCAATATCATTATACATTTATCCTTTCTGAGCAATGCAGCAGTATGGTCGACATTAACCAATAACTCGCTACGAAGTATGAACATGGGAAATGATAAAAATATTTACGACCTGAATATTAAACTGTGATGTATTTGATCACAGCCCCGCGGAGCTTTTCCATAAATTCTGCTGCTTGTTTCTGCAAGATGGAAACAAGCATTATTTGAAGTTTGAAATTTCAAATGATATGGCTGCGGTTTTATAATGTAATCTAAGTAAAAATAACTTTGGAAAACTTTTCAAGAGAGAGACCGTTTCATTGCTTGTTATGAATACTTTATGGTGATGTGATACGAAAGGTCCATTATATTACTAAAACGCACCAATTCGCGCAATGGCTTAGAAGAAAAGATTTTAGAACCTTTAGTAATCATGTTTTCTCCTATACCTACAATTTGGGGACCAGCTTGCAATATTTAACATTCAGAAAACTGCCAAGCCATTGGAAGACCCTGATTTTGTAATGTACCACTAACAGACAAGAACTGAATGGAACAGAGGCATTGCCAAAATCAAAAACAAGATCACAAAGGTATTCCTAATTTGATTTTCTACGAAAGAGACAAACGACGAACACTGGATGTCCTGTACCCAAGAAGCTATTGACATTATTTTTAGTGTAAGAAAGAAGTGCAACCACAATTTCCTGAGAATGACTTTAGGGTCTATAAGCCAGTGGCTGTGCCAATATTTACTCAACCAACTGAAGAATATCATCTTTGAAGTTTTTTGAATAGAGAAAAAAAATTTATGGAGCAAGGATACAAGGCTTGATCACAATTGAGTTGCAGCGTGGATAACAGATTAGTTCATGTATGCTGTATGCACAGGACAACACCATGAGGACTTCTATGAAGACGTGATGGAAAGGTATTTTTCAAGAACCTCACACCTGGTTACCCTTATGAGCATTTGCTATGTTTTCATCAAGAAGTGTCAACAAGGATCTGTTGATCTCATTCCGCTCAACCATCTCCAGTAACTGCATAATGTTAGATTATTTTTCAGCTGTGTGATATACATCTCGAAAATGTGAAATATAGAGGTTAATTTGCTGATAAAAAGTACCACATACAGTTGCTTTTATATCCTTTGATGTCAAGATTTTTGTCAGGCTCTCCCTTGCCCTTACGAGGTCAGTTTGCATTTTATCATATGCTTCTGTAGAAATATAAGGGGGCAAATATAATGTGGGTTTCCATATAACAAGTGCATATTAAAATTCTTGACAGTTTTCGAAATTTACGAATATAGCAAACCTGTTCCTTCCTGCAGAGCCTTTTGCAGAGCTTCCAGCTCAACCAATCTATCTTCCATGTCCTACAAAAACCATCAATATTGACTCTGCTCATACATTTGGGCATTATGTAATTAACATATGTAGATGTAGACAAACCTGAGTTTTTGACGTGGCAAAACGCAGCTTTCCTAGTTCCAACTGCAGATGTGAGAAAAATTCCGGGTTCAATCTGCAAATTTTAATGTTCAGACGATGTGGTAATATGAAAAGTTTTTCTATTTTTTTTTTATTTTGGGGGGGGGGGCGGGTTTGCTAGTTAGTTTTCTGCTTCATTATTCACAATTGCATACCTACACCTAAGAATTTTATTTCCAGACACTTAATTTATTTATCTATTTATTTTGAAGAACGAATTCTTCTTGTTTAGAAGGAAGGATTAAGTCATTCACACAATAGCAGAATAGCTTCTACTTAGAATTCGTGAATCTGACTTTCTCATTACTTCAATTACCAAGCCCAAGGATATTGAGATCTTTGATTCCCAGTCTTGACTTAATTTAAATGAGTTTGGTTAGTGGATTACTGCTCAATTTGACATTTACTTCCCATTTGCCATCTTCTCAACATTATCTTTTACATGATTATAAAATCAGCTAAACTCATACGAGGCTCAATTACAAATTATGCCAATGAGCCCCCAAAAAATTGAAATTGAAATTCATGACTCCCTGTGTTGAAGAATCAAGACATGTCAGCAAGACAAGTCAGCAAATAGAGCCAGCTGTGCAGAGCCAGTTGTTAGTTTGTTACAGTTTGTTACAAAATTAGTTAGGAAGTATTTAATTAGTGAGAGTTAGTTAGATTTAGTGATGCTTGAATGTCGGTGAGTTTGTGTATAAATACACTTGTAATATTCTCCTGATTCGTTAAGTGTGGAATAAGACATATCTTCTTCCCCAAGCCTCTACTCTCTTCTTTCACTTTTCCTCTGTTCACCACTGGTTTTATCACCCTGGTTGTATAATCATTCATATAAAAGAGAATAGAATCCACAAGGATGGACATAGAAGCAAAATTTCAAACACCTAAGATACAATATTTCTATTCATATTCTCAAAATACCAGACACCAAATTAACCTTTTTTGGGATTAGAGAACTTACAGGAGTCTCAATCTTGCTATCTCAAACTCAATCTCCCGAGCTTCGGTATCGAGAAAGTACTCTATCAGCTCAGCTGGAGTATCCGGCACAACCCGAGACTAAAAACAGCAGAAAACAACAAAATCACAATCACAAACTTCACACACATAAAAAAAGATCATTGCACCAGTATACCCACTGAATTACCTCTCGAAGAGCTCGGCGACGCTCTTTCTCTTCACGGACTTCACGCTCGAAGGCTTCTCTGGCTTCGGCGTCTCTCTCAAGGCGTCGCCGGAACTCAAGTCCGGCGATGTGGCCGGTTTTAGGAGGGCCAAGTACGCCTTCTGGGTCCTTCCTTCACATAAACAACATCAAGAATAATCAGTTTTCATCACAATGCTTCACACATACACAAAAACACACACACATATACACGGAGAGAGAGAGAGAGACCCATCCTATGCAACGGATTTGATTTGGGGTTCGGAAACGGCTTTGGTTTCGCAGAGCTTTATTTTGGTAGATTGCAATGGCGGTTGTGTTGGCAATGCTTAGAGAGGCGGGCAATGCCATGACTCATGAATGGCCGTTTCAAAGCTCTGGACAGATACTAACGTCTGGTTGTTAGTGTTTTATCCGTTTGAATGCGCGCAAAGCAAATCATATATGGCCGCTGATTATTCTCTACGCTCTACACTCTACAGGCCAACCGCCCAGGCCCATTTAAAAGGCTAATAGTTCAAAAATTATGGTAACAACCATGATCCAGGTACAATTGGGCTAGCCTTTTAATGTCCAGCCCAGTAACAAGCCTGCTACACAAACACGGGCCACACGGCCGCTTTGATAATTGACAATCTCTCTCTCTCTCTCTCTCTCTCTCTTTGTTCTGATATAGTTTAGTAGCCAGAATTTGGTCCATCAAGCGTATGCAAAGTGCGAAAAACTTTGAGAGGACTGATTTTATAAGCTTGTAACTCGCAAGGGTCACTTAACAAATTTTATTTATTTTAAAACGATGCTCAAATCTTAAATAGAATGGTTGTGTTTGCATGTGTATCTTCGACGAACATGTTGACTCACTTTATTGTGTTAATTTCATAAATGAATGCTCGGGTCAAGAAAGGTTCCTAATTTTAGGATCTGGCCCTTTGATTAGTCCATATAATGGTTTTTAGGCCCCAGAGGAAATGCATTTCAAATGTAGCACATCAATTAAAGTCATATATGCATTTTTTTTTTTAGTTTAATGGTTAAGAGTATTTGTGTTACATGTACCTCAATTAATTTTTTTTTGGTCCGGTTAAAAGTAAACTATTAACACTGCGACTAGGGCATTCATAAGAGATAAATCTCTCATGGCAAGGGCTGATAATTGAGTCGAGTTACTCGGCTCGGACTCTAAATGAACCGAATTTGAACAATTTTTTAGACTTATTTAGAAAACAAGCCTAGAAGGGTTAGCTCGATCTCACAAAATTTGTCTTTGTTTATATGTGAAATAGTTGAGTTACTCGAGCTCGATTCGAGTTCAGCTTGTTTTGGATTCGGTTTAGACTCGGCTCGGTTCATTTTTTAAACGAGCCGAGTTTAAATAATTTTTTAGACTCGTTTAAAAAAAAGAGTTTAACAGGTTTTGGTCAAACTCGTAAAACTCGGCTCGATTATTAACCTTACTTGTGATCCGACTCAAATGCATTGTTAAAATTTAAACTCAATTCATCCTTATTACCACTTGAATTATTAAATTAGTCATTTATGCGCTTGGGCCAATTGGGGATATGTTTCTTTTTCTTTTTCTTCTTTTGTCATTGTTTGGGATGTGTTTAATAGGTAGTTATCAAGCTGATTCTGGATTGTTTAGCATAGCCGGCCTCACCCAAGTTTCTAAAATGGTATATTTTTTCAC